GTAACGTTTTTCCACTTTGCGAACCAGCGTTAATGGTGTTATGGTTTATTTCACCCAGGCTACCTTTAAGAGCTCAAGTTCGCCAACATCGAAAGTCGCCAGTCTTCGTGTGTTTGTTTTTTTGTTTTTTGTTTTGGTTTAGAACGTTCGATGGTTTGATGCAAGATTCCATCAAATGCGATATTGCTTAGTGATTATTGTTGGAGTCTTGCGTGCAGCCATCGTTTTCAATTGGTGATCTGTATAGCTCTTTCTGCGCAGTATGGTCGAATTAGAGACCAGATGTTCGCTTCAACGTTCATCGCTTATAATAGAACCAAGTGAGTGGATAGCCAAGAAAACTTTCTAAAGATCTAGTTGTTCCTATTTGGGATTCGAAATAAGTTTGCCAGCATTGCAATCTGGCGTAATGGCTACAGGTCTTGCATTTTGTTGTAACACTGTAGACGTCAAATTAAAATTTGAATCACTGCCGTTTTGGCACTGATCTGTGGGTGTGTTCCCCATCTTCGTGAGTGGTGTTTCACCAGCCCATTACGTTGGCCGGCGTCTGTTTTGCAATGGTTAAAATCTTTGTCGTTACACGCGGGAAACATTAGTTCTAATCCGTAGTCTCCACCAGGGCAGTGCTACTGACTGAAGTTGCCTTTAGTTAGGCCATTCCCAAAGGGGGGATATTCACGTATTCTTATGCACAGTAGAATTGTAAATGGGCTGATTTATAAATGTCATGCTCTTACTGTGCTGAAACAACATAAGGGAAACTGCTGGTTTTTCTTTCCTCATCCTTACTATCGTCATTTTTCCTCTACTTCTTTAGTCTGTTTGTCACTCTCTTGTGAACTGCTATTTCCGGGGTGCCTTGATAGTCGAAGCAGACTTTGTGCTGGTGAGGCTAGAGAGGTGAGTAAAGTAAGTCTGATTCCCCGTTTGGACTTCTTTGTTGACATTCACCCCAATTGGCGCTCATATGACCTTATGCAGTTGCAAGCGCCGTAAAACCTCTGTTACCCCCCCCCCCA